GCCGATAATTCTTCGCCAGTAAGAGCATTGGTTTTCTTACTGGCAAGGGTCCATGTTACTGCGGTACACGCCAATGCTGGTCGCATAACGTGCCTCCTGACGTACATGGAATTTCACTGACGTATTGGCAGCGGATTTCTACAAACCTCGTCGCTGCATATCATAAGCAGTTCGAGCTTTTCTGATTCTTTCATGAATAGCTGTTTCATCACCGGTGAACACTTACAAGCAAACCCCCTGAAAAAATGTGTCAAACACTTGCAGATGTCATTATCAGGTCTACTAATGGATGGCCATTTATTGCATATTCTGCCACCTGACTCCGAACCTGCCAATCGCTGCGAACGATAACAAGATTTTCAAAGTCAAACACCCAGTGTCCTTACCTTAAAGAAGGTCCGTGAGTCACCAACTGCAACGGCGGTGCTGGTCAATGAGTCGACTGACAGTATCTCTGCGTGTGCATTAATGCACCTGCAGCATGTGCTGACTTCAACCACGAATATACAGGTCGTCTGTTCTGGAGATTGCCCGAGAGCGTCCAATAGAGTAACAACAACGTAACAAAGTTAGAATCGTTCAACGCCTGGGATGGTAACGAAATCGCTCAGTTTCGGGTAACAGACGCATCGCTTAAGGGTCAAGAAGAAATCTACATGTAATGCCAACTACAGTTTCTGACAGTATTTCACAGAATATAACTCGATTGAAGATATGCTCAAGAAATGTCCATTACTGGCATCCAAGTGAAATCTACCGACTTCTTTTTGCAATCAGTGTGAGATACAGTTAAACCTGCTTTCGTTGACTCAAGTTGAGGCGGAAACGTCATAACCAAAAACAGTTCGAATCGAACATTTATGCAAACTCCGTAGAGTGGTATATCCGTGAGTGGGAATATGTCTACACATAACCATCTTTAATGCACGTAAATAACAGAATTGCAAAATCGACAGCATTAACCGTTGAATCTGATATTAGAAAAGTAACGCGTTATTTGACATATTCCGGAGTACGAGAATAATTTGACGTTTCTGCGGTAATATATGAGGAACAGCAGCTCTTGAAATAACGTTCGTAATGAAAGCAAGGTGGTTCTAGCGGTACATGCATTTGGCACTGCAAGTGCTCAAATACATGGGGCCATGGACTGCTTAAATGGTCCCCTAGATGATTAAGAGAAAAGGGGCGGCACAGTACACTGTAAAATCTGGTTTCGGAGAAGTTATGCGCTAGTCCAACATCGTGCATTCTCTGGAGATGGTATGTCCATGAACAGACATACGCTTACGCACTTGAAAGCAATTATTTTTCATCCACATAACTAAAACAAATACCAAAGCAGCAACCACTAACCGCTGAAACAAGCAGACTTTCAGCAAAGTACAGACTCTACAATTTCATAGTTATAGGCTCGAAGAAACACTTTACTCAGAAGTCAGTGCACAAACAACATTCATTGTTCATTTGCACAAAGATATATATAAAGATTATTTTCTTAGAAGTCTTCTTATTAGAATCGGTTGGTATTGAATTGGTATCAGTATCGAAGAATATTAATCGCTGAACCTCGCAAAATATTGTTTATGAGTCCTAACGACACTATACGGTAAACAAAAAACAGTAAGCCTAAAAAAGTTGTATCTTTCGGCAGCTTTTGCGCAAAAATTAAAAGTAGTTTTTAGAAAGTCTTTCTTCACTACAGTCAGTCAGGTTCAGTATTTTAACGTTTGACTTTGACTCCCGTTCGTAACACTTCGCAGGTCACTCGAAGCTAATAACCATGACCAGTCTGTCCAAGAGTGCTCAAGCATGCTTCACCAGTGAATAAGCAAATGGCCATGATAATAAAATAACAACAACGCATGCCTGCAAATCCATGAAACTGAGTCTGATTAGGTAAAACCGAAATGTAGCCTCATACTAGACTCAACAGCTGCAACAGTGAAAACTGTGCAACAAGTTGGATAAGCCGTAAAAGCTTTCCTGAAATAGAAGTCAAACAGCGACAACCATAGGTCAGCTTCGTTGAACGCAATATCGGTATTTGCAACACTGTTTGCTTTTGTCACAGTCGTGCAACATTTGCAGAACTTCAGCACCTTCACTGTTTCTCAGACTAACGACGTGCCGCTATTCACATGGAATCTCTGACCTATTTTAGGCATTGAAAACAGGCTTTATATTCGCTTTTGCCAAATGTAGACAACGCCATTGTTCGTCCCAAAAATCTCTTCGTTTTTTCGACATTAGAATCTTGAGGGAACCTCGTTCTACAGCAATCTAACATGGCCCTATAAGAATACGTTAACGAAAACGAAAAGGAATATTTGTAACAGTCAGAATATCAGTCTCCCACACACCATGAAGAGCTGTTTTGCTATTGTTTTATACGCAATATAATGTTTTTGCACGTAGTCTAAGGTACTGCACTCATCTCTCTCTTTCTCTCACACAATGCCATCAGCAAGGAGTATCATAATTGTGGTCGTATCCTACGTCAACAGCTAAGAGATCACTAAAGCGTATACAATCCTGGCTTCTTTCCAAAGAACACTCATCCATTTATTTCAAGAAAAGTGACGGGCAGTGATTAGAACAGGTGGTCCTACGACTTAAAATTCGCTAATCTACCGAATTTTTGGATCTGTTTGAATGGTGAAAGATTAAACGCTAACCTTGTGAGCAAGTAGTACAAAGTATGTTGTTTTAGTGCGCAAATCATCCCACATTCAGAAGGGTAAGCGGCATGATGAAAAGCTTTTAGACAAGGCAAATAAGCTGATGCCCTCATTCGCTCCGTCTGGTTTATTGTCAAAGAATGGTGGAAAACGGCGTAGAAGATTG